ATGCTCCTCTCCTCTTTTTTGCACACTGGCATTGGTACTTTGATCCTCTACTCATTAAACAACTGTTGCAGAAATAAGGAATAGTAGCTTATTTAAGCTTAATAGCTTAAAACCAGATTTAATACTTAATGTTTAAAAACCAGGTTTTTAAAACAATTTAATTCTAATTTAAGACCTTGATTAGTTAAATTACATTATATATAAGGCATAATTCAGATTTATGGCTTAAAGAGACCAGAATCAAGCACCCAATGCCAAAAAGTGTAGCACTTATGTGACACACATGACATACCTGTCTAATATTAATTTGTTCCCAACTTAATAATACATTATTAATCATGAATGTTGTGTCCAAATCAGCCCACAGTCTGGCTTCCACTGAAGTACTATAGGATTAATTTTATGGATTAAGACATCTGTGGACTAATCTATTAATGGATTAATCCATCCATGAAACAATCCATTAATGTGGATTTTTTTCAGGAACGGTCTATGGGGGGGGGGAGTTGTGTGACAAAAAAAGTCATATTGAGAAATTGGAAATGTGATATTATTCCAGATGTCAAGGGATGGTTATCAGAAATGTGTGGTCTATCTGTTTTGGAAAAGGCAGGATTTTTCTACTAATCAAAGGATGCATGTGTTACTATGGCAGAGATATAGTGATATTTTACAATAATATGATGTAATATTATATGATCATATTATATAATATGATCATATATAATATAATGATCATATTATAGTAGCATATTCATTAATAAACCAGTGACTATTGATAAGTATAAAATATAAGGTAGCATTTTTGTTTTCTTTTTTAGTTTGTTTGGGGTTGCCTCTTTCCTAGTTTTTGAACTTTTTTTAGGTTTAAATATTTTGTTAATTGTGCATGTATAATTTTTAAAATAAAAATAAATAAATATAAAAAAGAAGAAGAAAAAAGGAATGATTGCCATAATAAGATTTTTAACCCACCTAAATCTAGATAACAATGTATTTAAGTATCCACAAAACACCCACAATTTATTCTGAGTTTTCAACAAAGATTAGCAAACCTTTCTGTTCAGAGATGACATATACGCTCATGAAAAATTATATATAGCAGTACATCATTTCAGCTAAGAGAACACAAGTATCAATTCTTCACAACAGAAAATGAGTGACATACTCAGGTTTTAAAGGAAGATCGATGATCAGGTTGCAGCCAAATACAGAGATAAGGGTTGTTGCAATTTGATTGGGTGAAGGGTGGCAAAATAAATATATCTATATTATCTCTATCTTTCCCCTTCATGGAATCAATACCTTAGATCAAATTTCAGCTCTTATACTTCCTTTTCCATTACTACAGACCTCCAGCCTCAGGAACAAAACAGATATACCACGTGCAAATTATGAACCTAAGACCACGTTACCCGGAGAAAATTACAACTGATCTCTTAGAGTAGAATAACATCTGAAATGCAGCCAAAGGGAGAAGGATAAACAAAATGAGATAGGGGTGGTAGCAGTGCATGAGGAAGTATATGTGAATGCTTCTTACTTGGAGGACAGATGGATCCTACTCCTGTATTCCTAATAATTAATGGAGAAAGTCAGGATTGATGCAAGATGTGACTGGGAATTGGTTTTCTCCCACTTCTTATTCAAACAAAAGGTAAGAGCAAAAAAGGGGAAAATTTTATTATTGGCATCAATGTGAACTCAGAAGTTCCACAGCAAAAGAATTAGATCAATGACTCTATATTTCTTTTTCTTAGAGTTTCTTTTTGTTTGATTTCAAAACTTACATACATCAAGAGTTCTCTAAGTAGGAAAAAAAAATATTTTGGGACAAATATTTTGCCTCCAAATTAATAAATATTTAGCTACCTACTTGCCTTATTAAAGGGAATGATAATGATGAAAACAATAGCATAGTTCATTGCTCTTAAAAGTTTTATTAGCAATGGCTGGAAAATAAATTCAGGGAAATAACAAATTTCCATTCAACTAGCACCATTCAAACCTCCAAATTTTTACCCAAATTAGAAAAAGCTCTTGGTTGCTAGCATTTTCCCCAAAGACGTCAGATCAAATTTCTTATAAAAACATGTTTACCTAGGATTCAAGACTACCACCAGGACATTGGCATAATGTAAGGGAGAACTGAAGTCTATTGCAACAATGCTGATTCACATCACTAAAGAAATAGAATTACAAAGAGAAAGTCTTATATACATCACTAGCTGGATCACATACCTTTATCACATGATGCTTTTCACTCAGGGCAGGTATCTTAAACATTTGACACCAATAGGTTGTGTCTTGTTCTGGTATAGCCACCTGTCTTAATAAAATGGAAAGAAAAAAGGCTAATAAAATATGAAGTTTGTTTTTCCCCTGACAATTCAGCATACAGTTCTATCCTTCTTACTCTGATACTTATCTAAAGTAACTTACGTTTTGGTTTGCCAAGTCAAAATATGGCAGGGAGGGAGGGATAATAGCATTCTTCTCAGGATTCAATAAACGAAGACTCTTTGTCCCACGATTAGAACCATGGTAATTTTGACCTCCATTTTTAAAGTCTTTGTCATGATAGGCCCATATCACTCGTACTGTGCTTTCCTAGAAGAGGAATGCTGCTGATGAGTTATATAAGGAGAAATCTAATACTACGATCACAGCCTACCTGAATATATTTTCCACCTTGCAAAGGATTGGGGAACGTATGGCCGTCCAGATGTTGCCAAATCAGAAATCCTAGTAGTTGCTATCAACATGACTGAAGTTGAGGAACGCTGGGAATTATAGTTCAGAAACCTCTGATGGGTCATACGTTCCAAATAATGTTGATCAACTTCTGTATCGATAATATGCTTTAAATGTATATTATTTCAAAACTGAATGGGATTATTATTTCCCATTTTTTAACTTTACATTTTGCTTTTGTATTTTTATATTTATTGTAAACTATTTTGATACAAAAGTAATTCATGCTTAGGTAATCTTCCATTTGGTTTACTATAACATATTCTATGCAGGCTAGTATGGCTGTGAGGCGGTCATCCGGAACATCTTTCAAAAGCCCTAAAACTTAGGTCCTTAACTCTCCACATCTTCTGCACACTCCAATTCTGTCCCAGAAAGTTCCTCAGCCCTTGAACTATCAGCTTTAGGGGTGGTAAGCTTGGATGAGGGAACTATATGAGAAAGAATATTCTACCACCAGTGTCTATTCCACTGTGTGACAGAATAAATCCTCATTGAATTACAGATCAGAAGATACACTAACATCGTATCTACCTTAATCAGTATGTACAGTAATTGTACATACAGACTATTTATTATGGCATAATTAGCATAATGATTAAACTGAGAATGAGAAGCTATTTTTTTCCCCAAATTTATTAAGCTATTTTTTCTCTTTCTTTCTCATTCTCTAATTTAGGTTTATCATGAACTTTACCGTTAGACTCTTGTCATTTGGGTCACAAGTGTGAAGCTGCCGGCTGAAAGCTAGTATTGTATGAGTATTATTTTCCATAGCATACTCCAGATGGTAATCCTGCTGAGAATCTTTTTTCAGTACTCTGTCTGCATTTGTAAAGCAATCCTGTTGAACATAGAAAGCAAAACATTATCCTGCTGTTCTTTTTAAATGTTCTGAACTCCACAACCTTTTCAGTTTTGTGGGAAAGAAATGTATACAGAATATGTTGTAATTCTCTAAATAAATATTTTACATTAACCAATAAGAGAAAATCTAATGTGTAGATGTATTTTTCCATTCTATCCTTTTGAATGTAATTAACATTGTATAAATGCCACATGCAGTAAGTGTATATAATAAGAGATTCTTACAAAAAGAGGTGCCTATTTTGTAATCATACATTTGCCTATTCTGTAACCTTAAGAGCATTAGTGGACTTAGCAAACACGTATTTGAATAAAATCTGATCCTCAAGAACAAATTGTATAGATAGTATTTCTCTGCATTACACTCCTATCTTAAACATGAATTCATGGAGGTTTTGTCTGGCTATTACATAATATATGCACTATTTTTAGGTGCATCTTTCTCTGTCTCAATGTATTTTTTATTGCTCTTTTTTCCTATTTGGGGGGTAAAATCAAGAAATATAATATTTTTACTCCTACTCTAAATCCATTTTTTTAGTTCCCATGCACTTAATCATAAGGGGATAAGTAAACCACGTACAGTATTGTAAAGCTAATATATACTCTCTAGAGAGGAAATATTAAATTGGAATATGATATTATTTTACCTCCTCATATTGTTAAACCATAGAAATGTTTTAGTGATTCTCCTTGCTGCCCCAAGGACAGATTATCCTAGTCCTCATTGTAGCAGAAGTATAATATTATTTTTATGATTGTTTTTATCCATGTTATTTTTATTTAATTGTTGTACGCTGCCCAGAGTTGCTTTGTGTGAGATGGGCAGCTATATAAATGGGACATATAAATAAATAAATAAATAAATAAATAAATAATGAATAAGCTGCATTAGTAATGTAGTATTGTTAATCTCGTCCCCTCTGTATTCTGTGTTACAAAGTGCAGCTGCTTTTTTGGCTCTGCTCCTACTTCCCAGTTCATCATAATTTCAGCAACTCTTGTGATGGCCATTCCAAAACACATTCCATAGACACCAGGATGATAATATTGACTAATGTTCTTTCTAAGAACTAAGAATTTTATGCATTTGCTCCTAGTTTGCATAGCGACCACACAGAGATATAAAATTTGGAGATGTTTTAAAGAGGTGGAAAAACTTTTAAAAGGGTGTTCCCTTTTTTTAATGGAAATTTGGTGAAAATTAAAATATATCCATTGCTTATTTTTAGATGAAAATAAAAGGATACTGCTGAAAATATCTCCACTCCCAGTGCTTTTAAGCTACATGGAAGACAGGAGCAGATAGGCAAGGAAAGTAACAAAAATCAACAGAAGAAAGGAAGTCTATGGGCAAAATGAAAATTCCAGTGCCCCTTGGTGGTAAGGAACTCATTTTTGGTCTTGTATTTGAGAACTGTATTGCTAGCTTGTTGTTCATATGCAATCATAATATCTGTAATAATCTGCAATTATCTGACATTGCAGCAGCAGCAGCAGGCTCAACACTACTTTTGTCAAACAACAAAAGCAAGGATGTGATATTGCACCACAAGTTATACCCCTTTGGGACATGCATGTGATATTGCAATACATATAGAAAGGATCTGTAGCTTCTGTGGAGACCATCACAGTAAGGGAGCACAGGCCAGTATATCAGCAACTGGGGGGACACAAGAGAAGAGCTGAAGGTCCTGGAAAGACAGGAGCCAGGCCAATTGGTAAGATATGCTATGCCGGTCCATTGGAAGGAGCATTGGTGGATAAGAGGCAAAGGAGTAAAGAAAGGGAAGGCAGTGGGAAGATGTGAGGTGGGCAGGCTAGAATACAGACCATGTAGAGGACAGAAGAGAAGGGAGTGACATGCAGCCTTGTCCTACTCACCTTGTAAAATCCCCCCAAGTTCCCTCCAGATTTTGTTTCAGCCAAAATCAGGAACAAGCAGACATTTCAAGTTTTGTTTTTGCTCAACTGGGGCCAATTCAAAACAGTTTGGTAGAACTTCTGGAACACAACTGTTTATTTTGTTTGAAATTTAGTCACTTCCCTAATAAGCAACCAATTTATGTTATATTATCTATTTTCTTAACCTACCTGGAATTAGGCAAAATTAAACTCATTATCTTGAATGGCATATATGTTGTCACCACCACTTTTGTTCTCAATAATGTGTGTATCATATGCCCATGATATGGCAACCTGGGTCACTGCATTCCAGATATTTTGGACAACTCTCACTCATTGGCCATACATCTGGAAGACATCAGACTGCCTATTTAGCATGTAAGCTATCTCCATTATGGTAAAGTTAACATGTTTTGCAGCTGTTACTGAAATCAACGTATATACAGTATACACATACACACCCTACTATAGGCAATTCTAGGCTGCTGGATGGAGTGAATGAATCAGATATGTTTCATTCAATAGAAGTCATTTAGAAATTGCAGCAATACGCAGTAAGATGATTTTACAGATCATAAAAATTCTAGCGTATAATTTCTTACAGATGAAGGCATTGAGGATGAATTGTTCCTCACATGCTGTGACCCTGCACTCGCTCTCTCAAAAACGATTTGCAGTTGATATGGTTTCTGATTACTGCTATACAAAATGGCAGGGAGAGTAATTTCTTAAGGATGTAGCAAAAAGATGCAAATAAGTTTTGTTTTATCCCTAAAAAATGAGAGCACAGCTGCAGAAGGAACCTTGAGAATGACAGCTGTCTTCATAGGCCTGAACAGGTGTTTATATAGAGGAAAAGTCATCCACATCCTTGCAACCTGCAAGAGATTTTGCCTTCTTCTATCAATGAAGTAAGTAATAACAAAATACTATTTGGGGCTCTCCAGCACAAAGGCTTGCCAAGTTTATCTGAGACCCTGATTAAGCAGTTGTATTACTACACACAAACCTTTATGCTAGCAACATTTTAATCATTGGACTGGTACAGTGGCTACTATGTTGGGTATGGAGGTAAGAAACCTATATGAATGTAAAAAAAGCTATGCAGGATCACACCAAAGATCTCTGTAAAGCAACATTCTTTCTTGCAGTGGTGAAGCAGGTACCTATTGTAAGCTCATAGCAGGATGTAAACTCAACAGCCTCTTTCTTGTGTTTTCCAGCAATTGGTGATAAACCCTACTGTCAGTAGTTATTTTTAGCCATCACAACTCATAGCCCATGATATATTTCCAAGAATATAAGCCCATTTTAAGTTTATCCAAATTTAAACCACACTATTTCATTTGCCAATAAATTCCACATTTAATGCAGTTAAAGGAATGTAAAGCAAATCCTTTTATTTATCCTGAAACTTCTTCCATTCAGTTTCATATGATTTTACATTCCAATATTTTAAAAATTTATCTATCCCTACTTTCTCCACATTCTGCATAATTTTATGCATCTTACTTATCTAAACTAAAACAAAAAACAAAAAATAAAATACTACAAGTTTTTCAGAATATAGGGTTTCTGAGAAAGCTGAATGTCCATTAAATGGCTATTGGGATTTTACACATTCAAAAAACTACAAAAATATGAATAATGTACATAAAATATAAATGAAATGTATGTAATTTCTATAAAATATATACACTTTGTTCATGCTGATTCATGAAACAACAGTGTTTATTCAATGGGGGAAAATCCAAATTGTGAGTTTGGAGACACTCCAGATAGAGTGTCAAAATCAGAGACACACACAGATAGCGTTCCCAAATTAGGATTTGATATAAATTGAATGTAACATCAATCCTATTGAAAACATATTTGTTGTTCTCTGGAGATTCTTTGAGCGTGATCCAAAGGCTCAGGTGGTGGTAGTGTCCATGAGTGCCTTTGAAAAACTGCACCAATTTTGTTTATTCCTTGAGAATAGATACCTAGTCAGGTTGACATATATATAAAAACTTCCCCTCTCACCTCTATGGGTGGTATCTGTCTTCCTCAATCTTGGGTCCTCTATCAGAGGCCTGGGAGTTTGAGGGTTCTGCACAGTATCTTAGCTGTTCCTAGCACTGCACTCTTCTAGACAGAGAATTCTGATGTTGTTCCTGGGATCTATTGGAGCCACTCTCCCAGCTTAGGAGTCACAGCCCTGAGTTCTCCTACCACCACCGAACCACTTTGGCCT